AGCCCACTGAACTAAACCCTAAACCCTAAACCCTAAACCCTAAACCCTAAACCCTAAACCCTAAACCCTAAACCCTAAACCCTAAACCCTAAACCCTAAACCCTAAACCCTAAGCCCTAAACCCGAACCGCAAAAGGGATCTAGAGCCGTGGGCCCAGGGATCCTTTCCCCGATTTCCCTGTGGAAGGAGACGACGCCGCTGAAGAACTGCGGGGACGTGATGGACCTCATCCAGAGCAAGCTCTGAGAGAAATCTCCCTGAGCTTCGTATGAACTAGTATAATAAGGGTCGTCCTTTTCTCCTTTAGAGCTTAGGCCATGAACTCAGGTCCTGTAGTATAGTATACCCAGGTAGAGAGCCCTATATCTTTTGGTTTTGAAAAAGCTGCTTCGCGGCCGTCAAGAGGCTCTCCGCCCTCGCGAGGGGTCTCAGGCCGTGAGCTCTGATGCTGATGGAAGCGATGGACATGCGCAGAAAGATTGAGCCTTTTTAGTGTTTTTAGGGTTGGGGTTGAGGGTATAAACTTAAAGATACAGAAGCAACATTGTAGCTAAATGCGGACAAAAGCAACTGTAGATTCACAAGTGTGAATCTTTGTGCATACACACAGAAAATTCGCTTAGTTGCTTGTTGATCTGTTTCTTCTACTTCCTACAAGTATTACATGTATGTATATGCATGGACACATATTTTTACAGACGGAGACAGACATGACAAACACAGTCAACAGCTATACCTTCGGTTCATGGATGTAGACTTGTGTATAGATGTTCTATCTAAACAAACAGACCCATACATACTTTGAGTGTGCATGCACGTGTAGGCATGCATGTGGCAAATTTCGGGGGTAGGCACGCTCATGCTCATAAGATCACGCATGCCGACATTCTGGTTGTGGTCGTCTGTGCGCAGAAGCATGGAAGCAAATGCATGACGGAGTCGCGCATGCGAGGTTGTTTTTCCTAGGGTCGCTAAGCACTATAGAGCCGAATTTCACCCTCGACCCTTACAGTGAGGCCTAAACCCCCATGCCCCATAGGACCCTTCAAAAAAAGCTTGGGAATCTAGGGTTTGGGGTTTTAGGATGGGGCCAGTAGACGGAACTTAGAGGAGATGGATGGTGTGAATTCGATGATGATCCTCCAACATCTCCAACCAATATCAGCTCACACCCCAAACCGCAAGCCGTGGGCTCATGACATGCCAGCACTCAAGGAGTTTGTGAACCTAGGAGACTCAGTCCCCCCCCCCCAAGAGCCCCAAATATCTTAAACCCTAAACCCTAGACCCTAAACCCTAAACCGATTTGGAATTTTTGGTTTAGGGCTAGGTATCACCCACCCAACAGCCACGAGAAGCCTTGATAAATGCTTCAACCTCAATGTCAACTCGATTTTTGATTAACCTACTCATCTAGACAGCCCCCTAAACCCCTAAACCCCGAAACCCCAGACCCTAAAACTCTAAACCCCTAAACCCCTAAACCCTAAACCCTAGACCCTAAACCCCTAACTTCCTAAAGCCCTAAGCCCTGAAGCCACTCTCTCCTCTCTTTGCCATGAGAACCTCCGCCATGCTCTGAGTCGGTGAGCGATGCTTCCGCCTCCTGCAAGAGAGCCCTTTCGCACTCATGGAGGCCTCGGGCTTTTGGAGTTTAGGGTTTCGGGTTTGGGGTTTAGGGTTTGGGGCTTAGGGTTTAGGGTTTGGGGTCTAGGCGTTTCTGTAGGGTTTTGGGGTTTGCAGATGTTGAGTTTAGGGGCGGTTTGCAGTTTAAGCGCTTCTGTACGGGTTTCATAAGTTCTTTTCAAGGTTTTGTATAAGGTCGAGTAGCCATAGTGTCTTGAGATCATTTTCGACTCCACGTTCTGGAACTTGTCGAACTTGTAGGGTGGACTCCAAGACCTTCGTGGATGCCTAAGCCCTAAACCCTAAACCCTAAAGCCTAAACACTAAACCCTAAAGCCCTGAACCCCAAAACCGTTTAGGCAGACACCCTAAAGCCTAAAAGCCCTTAAAGCCAAACCGCAAACCCTAAGCCCACACGTTCGACACACCCTGGTTCTTAGAAGGGAATTGGGGGGATGGATCCCTATGATAGTCCCTTAAGGTCCCCTTTTGTAAGCCCACGAACACATTCCACCACCCAAGCCCTAAACCCTAAACCCTGAACCCTAACATGCCCTACTAAGAACCTGTCAGACTTCCGTTTGGAAAGGCGGGGTTTGTTCTGCCACCAAATCAGTGCACGCGGCAAAACCTTGTGTTTCGGGTTTCGAGTGTATGGGTAGTTCTCTAAATTAGGGTCCCTTTTTGGGTCCCCATTATAGTACGGCACCCTTATAAACAGGACCCCAAAAGGGACCCTAATTTAGAAAACTACCCGTATGGTCTGGGGCTTGTAGGAGATCCGAGGATGGGTCCTTGCCGGAAATATGGATTTTTTGGGTTTGCGGGTTGTTGGGATTGACGGTTACGGGTGTAAGGTCTAGGGCCAGGGGCCAGGGTTTGAGGTTTAGGGTTTAGGCTGACGATGGATGTACACAAATTACCCTTCGAGTCCATTCTGCAGCTGGTCTGACGTCGCGCCTTGCTGCGGTGATCTGTGGGGTTCGTGTGGAAAGAACTGACGATGGTAGTTCTCGGTGAGATACCCTCAACCGCAAATTACTTCGTGGGACAGGCTGGAAATATCCAGCGACTTCTGCCCCGCCACTGACTGGTTCTTAGTAGGGAATGGGGACATGAGTTTTTGGGACTGCTACAGGGGACCTAAATTATTACCAGTACTATTTTGGGGGTTCCTTATTGTATCTATAGTATACTGGTCCCCAAAACCCTATTCGAATTATTCAGACCCCTAAACCCCAAACCCTTATAAGGGAGCCCTTTAAAGGAACCCCTATGAAACCCTATTCTAATTCTTAAGATCCATCCCCCATTCCCTACTAAGAACCAGGGAGATGATAAGGAGCCCTCGCTTGGGCGCACAGCGGTTTAGGGTTTAGGGTTTAGGGTTTTCGGATCCTCCGTCGCCGTCCTTTTTGGCCGAAGCCCTAAACTCCGAAGCCCTAAGCCATCAGCTCTGAACCCTTAAACCCTACGCCCTAAACCCTCTGAACCTTAAGCCCTAAACCCTAAACCCTAAACCCTAAACCCTCTGAACCTTAAGCCCTAAACCCTAAACCCTAAACCCTCTGAACCTTAAACCCTATACCCTAAACCCTAAACCCTAAACCCTCTGAGCCTAAAGCCCTGTTAACAGAAGCCTAAAGTTAAACTGAACTCTGAGCTCCCTCCTTATGTCATGAAGCTCTGAAGAAACCTACACAGCCTCAAGCTTCATAAGGGATTTCGTGTCTTTCCTTTCAGGGCTTGGGGTTCAGGATTTAGCCCTGAACTTAAGGCCTTAAGTTGCATCTTGGGGTGGGCAGGCGCGTCCCTCCTCAGCGTGCCATCGAGGCCTAGGGCCTTGGGTGGGATATAGAGAAGGGCTGCAGGACTTTCTTTTCTTGCATGTGTTTCTGGTGGTTTACGGATTCAGGGATTTAGGGTTTAGGTGGTTTGTGGAAACCTAAACCCTAAACCCTAAACCCTAAACCCTAAACCCTAAACCCCAAACCCTAAACCCTAAACCCTAAACCCTAAGGGTTAGGGCTTGGCACTTTCGAGGCTTTTGGATTTAGGGCAGGGGGTTTAAGAGCATATGGCATCGCCTCAACCCAGGACTCCAAACTCGCTAAGCCTCAGAGACGGAGACGCTGGGCACTGGTAATGTAGGGGCCTAAATATTTACCTATAGTATGGTGGGGGTTCCTTCTCATAATTATAGCATAATGGGCCCCAAAACCCTATTCTAATTATTCGGGCCCCTATATTAGGTTCGGGGGTGTATGCTTTAAGTAAGTTTGAAGTGTACATGGTTCTTTGGTGTTTGTTGGTGGTAGCTTTGGTGTCTACGATTCCGGGTTTCCGGGTTGGGGCTTTAGATTATTTATAGTGAAGATGGTTTCAGGTATCAGGTCATGTATGCTAAAAGTTTGGATAGACTTTAGGTGAATAATACCTACGAAGATTGACTGAAGCTTTCATGCTTCACATCCCATCAAAGTGCTGTTGCGTTGCATGGCAGCAGATTGCCACTCCTGTCACTCCAGCAATTATTGCAGCCGTGGTTCAAAGCAGAGCTGGAATGGTCCAACATGCAGACATGCAAGATGCAGCATGCTCAGTTGGTTTTCAAGGTTAACTCAGTCATGGCCCTGGCTAGGAGGTTTTTTGCATCCGGTTTTTGTTCTCGAGCTAAGCTAAGGTCTCAAATTGCGGCTTGGTGCCGCGCACACCGCGCCAGCTCCACACGGTGGGTCTGAAAGGACTGAAAAGCCTGATTCGGAGCCTCCCCAGTGAGGGCCTGAAAGGCTTGATTCCCAGAGACTCCAATATCCCTTAATTAAGGAATATACCTTAAATCATAGGAGGCTTGCCAATATGATTTAAGGTATATTCCTTAATTAAGGGATATTGGAGTCTCTGGATTCAGCACCTGAAAACACCCCACGAAGTCTGACGCCATGGGCTGCGTGTGCGGTGGTGGTGGTGGTGGTGGTTGGCACCTGAACCCTAGACCCCTAAACTCCCAGAGGGGTAGTTCTCTAAATTAGCGTCCCTTTCAGGGTCCCGTTTATAAGGGTGCCGTAGTATTTTGGGGACTTAAAAAGGGGCCCTACTTTAGAGAACTGCCCACATCCTGAACCTTTAAAAACCCCAAAGCCCCAGAAGCCCAAATGCCAGAATAGACCTCACGACCCAATTCGGGTCATGCAGGCCCTATACTATACCCTAAATGGCCCTAAATCCCTTCCTCTAGTAAACCCTAAACCCTAAACC